AAAGTATAACACTCTTTTTTCAGGCTTTTTTCTGAATGCAAATTATTGCACAACTAAAGAAACATGCTGGGACTTTGTGTGAAGCTCCTGAATAAAAGGTGAAGAGTGGCTTGAGTTTGAAAACGGAAAATAATTAACGTGATAAGGAAAAATTATTTTTCTAAAGACCATCTCATAGATGTTCAGCACCATGAAAGTGTATTAAAAATACTTATTTGCTAAGTCTAATATTAAATCAGTCTAATTTTTCATTTCAAGCACTGTTGATAGAAAAAGTAGTTGCCTTTCATTAGATGCCACCTGTGTTAAGGAGCTGATTTGACTATCCCTATGTAGTCATTTGAGGCAGTTTTCTTCATATTGCTATTTCCTAATATAAGCCCCAAGGAGAGTTTAAATGTTTTGATAATAAACATTCAGCTGCTCCCAATATTTTAAAAGAACAAAATTATGGCATAGCCAAATGAGTTCCAGAAGGCAATAAATGTGCTGGCTTCATGTCACCAGTAAACACTCACATATTTGAAGAGAAAATTAGATTTTTAAAAAGAAGACAGAATGGACAAGGCAAATAGCAGAACTGCAACCCTGGACCTCAGGAGAGCAGCCTTCAGCCTTTTCAGGGATCTGCTTGGAAGAATTCAATGGGAGATGATCCTGGAGAAAAGAAGAGCCCAGGAGAACTAGTGATTCTCCAGGATCATCTCCTTCAAGTTCAAGAATTGTTTGTCTTGACATGCAGGAAGTCAAGGAGGCCTGCATGGATGACCAAGGGGCTCCTGGTAAAACTCAAACATAAAAAGTAAACCTAAATGAGGTGGAAGCAGAGTTAATTGACCCAATGCAGGGGCTGGGTAGGGAATATAGAGACAGTGTCTCAGCGTGCAGGAACAGAGTCAGGAAAGTAAAAGCCCACTGGGAGGTGAGCCTAGCAAGGTTCTTCAGGGGCATCGAGGAGGCTTCTATGAGTATATTGAAAGCAAAAGGACAGCTAGGGAAAATATGGGTCTTCTGCGGAAAAGGCTGTTACTCAAGGCCTCCTTCACTTTGGCCTTTAATGCTAAAATCTACATAGAGTAATCCAAAGCCTCTGTGACTAGAGAGAAAACCTGCAGCAATCAACATTTACCTTCAGTAAGGTGGGGAGAACATTTAAACAAATTGGATGTAGAAAAGTTCAAGGCACCTGACAGGATACACCTACAAGTGCTGAGGGAGCTGTGTCACTGCGAGCCTACTCTCAATGCTCTTTGAAAGGTCATGGTGACTGGGGGAAGTTCCTGAGGACTGGAAGAAAGCAAATGTCACACCTATCTTTAAGGAGGAACTAGAGAACTACAGGTTAGTCAGTCTCATTTCAATCCCTGAGAAGGTGATGGAGAAAAAAAATATGGAAGCCACCTGAAGGATAAGAGGGCGATTGGGAGTTTTCAGTGTGGATTTACAAAGGGGAAATCATGTTTGACCAACCTGATGTTCTTCTGCAATGAGATAAATGAGGTTCATTTAAATGTAGAAAAATAATTTTTTACTGTGAGGGTAGTCAAACACTGGAATAGGCTGCTTCTAGAGTTTGAGGAGTCTCAATTCTTGGAGATACTCAAAACCTAACCTGCAGCAATCAACATTTACCTTCAGTAAGGTGGGGAGAACATTTAAACAAATTGGATGTAGAAAAGTTCAAGGCACCTGACAGGATACACCTACAAGTGCTGAGGGAGCTGTGTCAGTGCGAGCCTACTCTCAGTGCTCTTTGAAAGGTCATGGTGACTGGGGGAAGTTCCTGAGGACTGGAAGAAAGCAAATGTCACACCTATCTTTAAGGAGGAACTAGAGAACTACAGGTTAGTCAGTCTCATTTCAATCCCTGAGAAGGTGATGGAGAAAAAAAAATATGGAAGCCACCTGAAGGATAAGAGGGTGATTGGGAGTTTTCAGTGTGGATTTACAAAGGGGAAATCATGTTTGACCAACCTGATGTTCTTCTGCAATGAGATAAATGAGGTTCATTTAAATGTAGAAAAATAATTTTTTACTGTGAGGGTAGTCAAACACTGGAATAGGCTGCTTCTAGAGTTTGAGGAGTCTCAATTCTTGGAGATACTCAAAACCTTGAGCAAGGACATAACCTTGAGCAAACTGCTGAGGTTGACCCTCAACTGGACGTAACCTTGAGCAAACTGCTGAGGTTGACCCTGCATGTGGTCTGAGTAGGCAATCTCCAGAGCTGCCTTCCAACCTCAGCAGTTCTGTGAAAACTTTTGAGTTGGGCCATGGTCATCCAACTACATCCAGGTTGTCTCCCAGGTTTAGGGGACAGTGAAGGGACGAAACAGTAGTCCACATCATCATGGGGCCTTCTCACCTCAGTCTTTGCTGCACAAAACACCTGAAACCAGAGGAGCAATTCTTGGAGGGGGTTTATGCCTTCGATGCAACAAAAAATTCCAGAGAAAAACAGCACCTAGCAGGGAGAAAAGATGTTGAGTAATCACACAGGAATTGGGTCTGGTCAGTGGAGCAGGATTCCTAAATGGGCGAGAAGGAGAAGGAAGGAGAAAGAGTTCTGCAGAAGGGGATTTAGGAAGTGACAGTGATGTTCCAAACACACCGGACTGTAAGAAACTGCTGCCAAATGAAAGATTGCTTTGCTTACAAGGCTCTGTCTTTCCAGAAATCAGTGTCAAAAGTGTTGAATTCTAGTCATCGTATTTCAGAAAGGATTGAGACAGGTAGCAAAAATGATTAAGTGCTTCAAAAATACTCTCATACAAAAGATTGAAATCATTTATCTCAAGGAGTCTAATGTAAAGGGATATGGATTCCAGTGGGCATATTGGCACTCAACTATATCTAATGCTTTTCAGAGCATATCAAAGCATTTTCAAAGGAGAACCGGATCATTACCCCCTTTTATATTCCATATTGCATGGGATATAAAAGATAAGGTGCATGTAGTGTCACCCCAAAATTAGTAGAATTAGAAATAAGTTTGCTAACTTGCAGAAGAGCCTGGTAACCACTCAGCCATCATTCCTTGGGATAAAAACAAGGAAAAAGGGAGGACATAGTTCCAGCGCAGGATCTTCTGTCTGTAACAAAATAACATTCAATGAAATCGAAATATCTCAAATTGAAAGTGAACTGAAAGATTTACTTGATACCCGATGTACTTAGCCTTCAAAACTTGCTCCAGTTAGATACCAGTGATGCCAAGAGCTCAACAGGATGCAAAATATGTATGTGGAAAATATTTGTATCCATTGTAGTAAATGTTCCAAATGTTAAGATTTTTTTAAAGGACATTCACTTTCACATGTCAGTGCTTCTGTCAGGTCATGTGTTCCAAATGTTAAGACATTCACTTTCACATGTCAGTGCTTCTGTCAGGTCATAACAGATTTAGGCAGATATTTTTCCAGTGGACATACCAGCAGTTAACTACCATTTCAAGGCAGTTTGTACAGAGTGGGAGGTTATTGTCAAGGCCAGGGCAGCACAATGAGACACAGATGTAGTGTGTCAGTGCCTACCTGGCTTCCAAATGAGGTGAAAACATTAATTTAAAGTCACAGCATGACCTATACGATATAACAGTTTTTAGTCATTCTGAACCAGGGAACATAATGCCTAATCTAATGTAGTAATGTTTTATAAATGCAAGCAAGTATAAAAGAAACACAGAGAACTGACAGAGAGACACATATTTAGTTAATTCAAGTGCTTACTAGGCAGCCAGTTAAGCAATGACTGCTATAAATTCCTATTGTACATATTTAGTTAATTCAAGTGCTTAATGAGAGAGATACAGATATTTTACTAGGCAGCTGGTTAAGCAATGACTGCTATAAATTCCTATTGCAGTTGCACAATGTAGTAAAGAAACAAGGTGAGTTGCTCTGGGTTTTTTGAGCTCTGCTGCGATAGAAACCCATCATGCTCTTAAGTGAAGTGCAAAGGTTTTTGTTCCTATTGTTGCTCTGTGATGGGAAGGCACAGCCATTTCTTTGCTGCCATCACGGAGCTCTACCAGCCCGGTCTCAACATAGGCCTGGAAGTCTCAAGATACCCACACTTGTTGTTGGGCTTGGTGAGCACAGGGAAGGCTTTAAAACATAAACACCCCATAAACCTCCCCCCGTCCCCGGCTTCAAACTCACCAGTCAGAGAGAAATATGAAATCCCCCTGGACTGGGCACTGATGAGGCCCCACCTCAAGGGCTGTGTCCAGTTTTGGGCCCCTCACCACAAAAAAAAGACATTGAGGGGCTGGAGTGGGTCCAGAGAAGGGCAATGGAGCTGGTGAGGGGTCTGGAGAACAAGTCTTGTGAGGAGAGGCTGAGGGAGCTGGGGGTGTTCAGCCTGGAGAAAAGGAGGCTGAGGGAAGACCTTCTGGCTCTCTCCAATTCCCTGAAAGGAGGGTGTAGCCAGGGGGGTCGGTCTCTTCTCCCAGGTCACAGGCAACAGGACAAGAGGAAACGGCCTCAAGTTGCACCAGGGGAGACTGGGAAAACAATTTACACTGAAAGGGTTCTTAAGCCTTGGAATGGGCTGCCCAGGGAAGTGGTTGAGGCACCATCCCTGGAGGTTTTCAAAAGACGGGTTGACATGATGCTGGGGGACATGGTTTAGTGATGTTTTTTCTTATCAGAGTTAGGTTGATGGTTGGACTAGATGATCTTGAAGGTCCCTTCCAACCTAGATGATTCTGTGATTCTGTTCTATGATTCTATGATGAACAACTGCGTGTGACTTTCTACTCATCTAACCCTTCTTCTCCGTTCGAACAGGCAATCTTTGTATTTCAGTTTTATGCTGTATTATGTGTTCGTCTCATGGACGTATGCAGGTCCCAGGGTTGCTGTACCCTTTACCAAAAGAAACCATCTTTGCCTTAGGAAATCAGCAATCTGGTTTTTTTTTCTGCTTGTTTCTCATAATGCTTTTAGGTATAAACATGTTTTTTAATAGTTTCTTTTTTTTTTTTTACTCAATTTCAGAGAAAAAACGATCCGTATACTCTTTCTTCCAATGTGTCCTTCGAAGTTACAAGCATGCCTTATAAAGTGCAACCAGCAAGGCTCCCCGAGGGAAGCACAGCAGTAAGTAGCTGAAAGTGGTATCCTTGTGTGAAGCACATGTGTTTGGTCACTCAGATCACAGCTGTGAAAGTTTTTATAGACGAAAATACTGACATCAGTCTTTCCTGTGTTTCTAGTGTAAATTCCTGAAATAATATCTAAGCGAAATACCTTTATTGCTTTCTGTGGAAGTTGCTGATACATGATACTAATTCATTTTTTTTAAATAATTTCTTGCTGCCTTGATGTGCAGATTGCTTTATTGCAATCAGGGTGGATTTTTTAGCCAGAAGAAAACAACAAAACTGGGAAATCAAGTGTCTAATCATCTTGTTTTGAGTAAAGAAAAAGTCTGGAGGAAATTTTTGTGCAAAATCCAAAATCTTGTTTCTCTCAGGTTTAGAGATCTCACTCTTCTCCCAGTCAGCAGTTCTCGCACGCAAGTTTATGGATTATCTACGGCAACTTCTTTCTTATCTGTATTAAGCTTTTCAATACCCTGATTCTCAGAAGGGTCCGCATGCCTTTCTAGGGTTTCCACATCTTGTACATCAGGCGCAAGATATTAAAATACCTGGTAATCCCTACAGATGTGTTGTGATAAATAGATATTAAAGTACTTGCCTTATTTGCAAAGCAAGATTTGTATGGCCCTGGAGCATTATAAGAAAAATTAATCTTGGAGGCATAAGTTTGGTTTAATTGTTTGCTGGTGCCAAAGCGCTGAGTTTGGGGATCAATTTGAAAGGATTTGCTTCTTATGGTGTCTAATAACGTGGTTAAAATGCACTCTATTTTGTCATTACTGATAGAAATAAGTAAAATATAAGTGGAAAATTTGATTCTAGTATAAGAGTAATCTGAAATTTGAAGGCTTATTGTTCTCATCTTCATAAATATTTGTCATTTACAGTCTTTCTTTAAAAAGGCAAGCTCAGAACAAACTTTCCCGAGTTAAATCGTGGTGCGAATACATCATATCAGTCTGCTGAGACGCAGTAGTAGCAAACGGAATATTTTCTTGTATGGAAAACCAACACAATAATATGCTTTACAGCTTACTTTGAATGGATTTTAGAGGATACCGTCTATAAAGTTTTGTTTTGAACATCACAGAATGAATGGCTGATTGGTACTGGCTCTGGGAAGACCCAAGGTGAAGTCTTCATCATATATGCTCAGTGACTTCAACCTCCAACATCAGGAGAGCCGTGATTTCACCAGAGAGATCTGGTGCTTAATGCAGTGTTCATCCAAAAATGTTCAAAGGCTCCAAGCTGACAGATATACTCAGGCTCTTTTTATTTTCTTGCAGCATGTGGTTCAAAGGCTCAGGCTCAGGCTCTTTTTATTTTCTTGCAGCATGTGTTCCATACCAGAAACACATGTTGTGCAGAACTCTGTTGATAGTGGTGCCTTCATCTGGGCTGAAGTGCTTTACCCCAGGTGATAGCCTGCTGTTCTCAACAAATGTCAGATGATCTACCAAATGATCAGATAAGCATTTTATTCTCTTACTCCAGCCAGTATAATGCTTGTTATTTGCTGCAGATGATTTACAGTGAAATGCCTGTAATGGCAACTGTAAAATGTTGAAAAATGATAGTGCTTTTATGTCGTTTCATATCTGGACATGGCAGTGGATGCTTGCCAGCTCTACAGCTTGATGTGTTATAGGCACAAGCTCTTTTGATGTTCCCCTTGCAAGAAGAAATATTTGCTTCAAGTTGAGCATTACTTAATATTTTTGCTCCTTCTGAAAAAGATCACTGGTTGTGTTTTAAAAGTTTCCAAAGATTTATTTGGAAGTTTATGGTTTTCTTTCAGACAATGCAAGGGTGGACGTGGAATAGAGATTTTAATATTTTAAAGTTAATTGTCAAAAGTACATATCTAATAATCAGCTAACGCTTTACAGTTTATATAGTGAAGTTTATATAATATATTAAAAAAAAAAAAAAAGAGCATATGTCCTTCATTTAACTCATACAGTACTGGGCTCCAATTATGCAGGCGGAAATATATATATAAAAAATTTTAATGGCATGAAAATTCCCTTACACATGAGTAACCTGCTCAGTCACATAGTCATATTTGCAGCACTGAGGTCCCTATTTCCATTATCATGGAATATAGGTCTATATCTTGAACAGAGGGTCATGATACATAGGTGTGTCAAAGGTTATGTAAAGATAAGAAAATCTGAATCTTTTTTAGTAAAACATTAGAGTGAAAGTGGCATCAAACAGAAAACTATCTTGGAACTTAGTGGAGCTTAAACCAAAATCCGCTAACATCAAGAAAAGTAGTTCTATTAATTTTGATAGGCTTGGAATTACAACTATATATTATACAACTGGTTGGATTTCCTTGCTAACAGCTGTATCATTCAAGAGAAAATTGTAATTTTTTCTTAGAAGTATTATTATAGTAAATAATGCTGTCCTACTTGATTAATTTCATGTGCAAGGTGAAAGTACTTTTTATTTTAAAAAGTACAGGGTTAGAATAAGCAGTAATTTATTCCATTTTAATTTGTGAATCTTGAGCTAGTTTTGGAGCTTAATAAAATATGATTGTTTTTCTTAAATGTTTGGTAGGATCTTCAGAGGGGATGCCTTTAGTGTAAACTGTTTGACCAGTGTCCCACAGTGAGTAAAATTGGTTTCAGACAAAGGCTTATAACTTTTTTTAGCTATTATGTGGTGATAGTACTTTCATTTTAAATGTGCTTATATACCTTATGAAAGACATTTGCACAAACATTTGTAAAATGTAAATATAAATGTCAATATTAATTATGACTCCAAGCTCAAGGGAGCTTTTACGTTCAATTTTGAACAATTTTTTCAGAGCATACAAGAACATCACGCTGCACAGATTGGATGGGAACATACAGGAGTACTAAGAGCTCCTGTTTCTCAGTCTCTATAAACAAACTGACTAAAGATTAGAGAAGGTCATTGTGGGCAGTAAAAGGGGTAGCATTAGAATAGTAATCAATTTAGCTACTGTTTCTTAAAGTATCAGATTAAATTATGGAGTAGTTATTTTTATTTTTTAAAGCGTGTCTTTTAAAGGACAAGAGGGAATAAAATGGCTTTGTGAGAACCCCACTGGCAGGCCCTGAACTCTGACCACAGATGCTGGATGTTTGCACGAGTAAAACCTAATTTCCATCTACTCACAAGGGACTGCCAGTGAACTGGCAGCTTGCCACACATACTCCTCTCTGCCTGGTGCTGCCTTCCAGAGGAATCAAAGACAATTGTGAAGGTGCAGTTGCACAATTGCTGCAATTTTGTAGCACCAAAATCAGGAGCAAAATCCAAACTGTACAAAAATCAGTGGCAAAAAGCCTACTATTTCTTTTATCTACTTACAGTGTGCTTAACTGTGGCACATTTTAAAAAAGGAAAATACACACACACTCCGCCACCCAGAAATACTTCCATGAGCACGTGGCTGATGTTTTTGATGGACTTTCACGGAGCCACAATAGCAATTCTGAAGTTCAGACAAATAGACAGCATCTGTGCCGAGACCAGCTTGGATTTTATTTCCAACAGCAGACAAAGGCTCTGTCCATCACTGTCTGCTTGGCTTCACCCTCAGCTCAGTGTCTGAGCCAGATGACATCCCTTGTCACCTCTGAGGTACAAAAGGTGTGAGACTTTCAGTGCTGGGAAAGGCCAAAAGTCAGTCGGCTTCTCTCCGGTCGGAGAGGTGTGCTTTTCACCAGCCTGACAGAGAAGCAGCCACTGTTTTCAGTGTAAGAAAGTCTTCTAGTCCTGAACGGAGAGGAAAGCCAAGGTGGATCTAAAGCTCAGTGCCAACACACAACACTTGTGTCAAAATTCCACTTCTTCATATTGGCCACCTCAGACAAAAACAGATAAATCCCCCGAAACGTTCCCTGGCTCTGATCCTGCAGCACTAAACCTACCACATGGGGAAGAACAGAAATCCAAGCTGAATAGTGCAAACTTGCCTTAAATCAAAATCAGATGTCAAGCTGTTGTGGACAGCATGGGGTGGAGGAGGGATGGCCTTCTGTGGAAGCAGTGAAACGCGGCAGGCCAAACTGAAGGGATGCTTTGTTTCTGTCTTCCCTTCCAGCTTCTGCCTCAGCTCGGTGGGTGTTCAGGACTTGCAGCGTCAAACTCTTCACCAGGAATTGCATTAGTGGCCCTGCAAGTCTTTGTGTAGGGTATAAAAGGAGGCAGCCCAGGGGCATTATGTTCTGCTGGTGATGCACACAGCCAGGAGTGAGACCGAGGACGGCATAGAATCCTCTGGTCAGGAAACACATCTCAAGCATTTCGCACAACCCTTGCCTTGCTTTCAAAAACCTAAGACAAAGGAGGATTCATGGGAAAAGGTAGTAGTTGAGACAAGATGGTTTTAAGATCTTAGCAGGCAAATATTTCATTAGCCATTGGCGTCGCTCCTGCTACAAAAGAAAAGAGTGGTAGCAACTTTGCAACAGCATTCTTCTTAATGCAGGATGGACCTAATTTCTGCTGTCTGCTTTACTCATTGCTGATAATCACAGAATCACAGAATATTCATGGTTGGAAGGGACCTTTGAGATCATCGAGTCCAACCACAAAAATCAAAAAACAAAAACACAAACACACCACAGCCACCCAAAACCAACAATCCCGGGCACTAGAGCATGCCCTGAAGTGCCACGTCTACCCGCTTCTTAAATCCCTCCAGGGATGGTGACTCCACCACCTCCCTGGGCAGGCTGTTCCAGTGCCTGACCACCCTCTCAGGAAAGTCATTCTTCCTCAGATCTCATCTAAACCTCCCCTGCCCCAACTTCAGACCATTTCCTCTGCTCCTGTCATGATTCCCTTGGGAGAAGAGGCCAACCCCCACCTCTCTACACCCTCCTTTCAGGGAGTTGGAGAGGGCAAGGAGGTCTCCCCTCAGCCTCCTCTTCTCCAAACTCAACATGCCCAGTTCCCTCAGCCTCTCCTCGTGTGACTTGTTCTCCAGACCCCTCACCAGCTTGGTGGCTCTCCTCTGGACACGCTCCAGAGGATTATAATCTAAGGATTATAAACATGATGCTCTGCACTTCTGTAGGACTGCAGTTTCTTGTTTATATTTCAGCATTTGTCAGGCTCCAGTTCAGCTGCTGAACTTACACTGTACATTGCACCCTCCTGACTGTGAAAGCAGAATGGCAGAGGGAAGAAGGGAGAGGAGATGACGAACCCATGCGGTATGAGCAAGGCTGAGCCCTGCTGCACCTCTCCTAATGGGTCACAGTGTGTTCTCAGGAAAACTCAGATGTCCTTGTCTGGATCCATGCTGATAGGTGCTCTGTAGATATCACAGGAAGAGCGGGGTTGCCCTATTGTTTTCACAGCCTAAGAGGAAAGAAAACGCAACACACAAATGCAGCAAATGTCTAGGAAGTGATGCATAAAGGAAGACACGGAATGGCATGGACATAGGTACTTCTTGTTGCATAAACTACCACCAGCTTTATCCAAAGCCTAATGAAATCCACCATGACCAACAAAACAGACCGTTTCCACTGATTTCAGCAGGTTCCCAAACATGCTTTGAGGTCTGGATTGACCCCCCTGATTTTGAACAGTGAACTGGAGTGCATTGGTTAAGTTGCTGCGCTCCTGTGCAATCCATAGGTAGCCCTGGGAGCTGTCAGAGACAGCAGCTTGGTTCATCCCTGTCTGTGTTACCCAAGTAGTTGCCGTAGATGGAATGAAAGCAGACTTGGTGCCTAAGGAGACCAATGTGGTTCAGTCAAATACTGTTTTAAGAAAACCGTAGTAAAAAAATCTCTCTACAGAAGTACTTGCCCACTCTGATAATTTCCATATTCAGAAATTTTGCTGACAATACAAAACTGGGAGGGGTCGTTGACACAATGGAGGGCTGTGCCGCCACCTGGACAGGCTGGAGAGTTGGGCAGAGAGGAACCTGATGAACTTCAACAAGGACAAGTGTCGGGTGCTGCACCTGGGGAGGAATAACCCCCTGCACCAGGACAGGGTGGGGGTGACCTGCTGGAGAACAGCTCTGAGGAGAAAGACCTGGGAGTCCTGGGGGACAACGGGATGGCCATGAGCCAGCAATGGGCCCTTGTGGCCAAGAAGGCCAAGGGCATCTTGGGGGGCATCAGGAAGAGAGTGACCAGCAGGTGGAGGGAGGTCATCCTGTCCCTCTGCTCTGCTCTGCCCTGGGGAGGCCCCATCTGGAGCACTGGGACCAGTTCTGGGCTCCCCAGTTCCAGAAGGACAGGGAACTGCTGGAGAGGGGACAGCAGAGGGCTACAAGGATGATGAGGGGCCTGGAGCATCTCTCTTATGAGGAGAGGCTGAAGGACTTGGGGCTTTTTAGTCTGGAGAAGAGAAGGCTGAGGGGGGATCTGATCAATGCTTATAAATACTTCAAGGGAGGGTGTCAAGAGGATGGGGCCGGTCTTTTTTCAGTGGTGCCCAGGGGCAGGACAAGAGGAAATGGGCACAAACTTGAATATAACATGAATATAACCTAAACATGAGGAGGAACTTCTTTGCTGTGAGGGTGGCAGAGCCCTGGAAGAGGCTGCCCAGGGAGGTGGTGGAGTCTCCTTCTCTGGAGACATTCAAACCCCACCTGCACACGTTCCTGTGGGACCTGCTCTGGGTGGACCTGCTTTGGCAGGGGGTTGGACTAGATGATCTCCAGAGGTCCCTTCCAACCCCATGTGATTCTGTGATTCTGTAATGTGCAGTTTCAGTAGACTGTCCTTCTACCAACCCATCCATAGCTGGTCAGCAGCTTGCTTTTTATTCTGGTTTCCTGGTGTGGTACAGTCCAGCCCAGTGCACCAATGCTGGCTCCATCTCCTCTGGCATTTGTCTCTGCCACCAAGGAACCTGGCTCAAGCTATCAATACCAGAAATGGCTACATCAAATTTTTGCACACAAATAGGTCTTCCCTCTGGTTTGATCTTACTGTAAAATGGAGTCAGTCATTTTGTCAGACTTGAGAGGACAGAAAGTGCTGCTTGGGTTTGCTTTTTGCTGTTGTTTACAAATATTTATTAAGATTATTTTGTTTAGTGGTCTATAATGTTACTGCTCCAGCTCCACAGCAACATGCTCAGACAAGTGATAGCATTAAAACAGAAACTGCAGTGAAGCTCAAACCTTAATAAATAAGGAACCTGTGCTGTGTGTTGATAGCGTCAGATCCTTTTCATATAATTTAAAAAATTAGAACTTCTTGCCTGTAGTGTCGTAGAGTTTGCAAACAGAGGAAGCACACAGTGGGGATGAGTTGGCTTTTTTTAATCAATCTCACTTTTTGTTGTCTTGGGGCCCATTGGATTTTAATCAACACTTCCCAAGCCTTGTGCTTTATGAGATCAGGTTTTCAAGCCTTGCCTCACAGCAGGATTTTCAAGCAGTGAAAGAGAGGTGCTTTCTTCCTTGGAGAGCTGGGTTCGTTGCTTGCTACAGGCTTTGTGCAGCCCATCATGACTACATCCCTTCTGATTGCCCCAGCCAGATAAGCCTTCTACTTGCATTCCTCTTTTTCCATAACTGGCTTCTCTCTGGGAGGAATCTCTGCAGACAGTTCAGATGACCTTTTCCTCTTGTTTCTCTCCCCTTGCATTTCAATGCCAGATACAGTACCGCTCTGAGACACGAGGAGAGCCATTCAGAAACATTTTGTCCTCACTAAATGAGCAGTGCTCTTTCTGAATTTAATGATACAGAGAGTCTGTGAAGTTCTGTAGTGGTTAAGAAGCAACCCAAAGGGGAGGCTGGGGAAAGGAATGGCGTAGTTGATCACTTGGTCATGCCAGCAAGATACCTGTTGGGACCCAGAGTGGGATTTCATGGGGTTTTTTTACTAATTCTGTTTGCCTTGAAATAATTTTTTCTTGCTTTAATTGGCTAACATGTTTATTCTTTGTATATGCTACCTTTTTGAAGTACATTAGCTGAATGTATTTGTTAGATCAACGAAGTTATGGCCAGCACTGCAAGCACTGAATCCTCAGGGTACAGATTAAAGTGCTAATGCCCGAAGTACTGGGCAGTGTCTCAGAATTTTTTGTGTAACTCACAGTGTAAGCTTTGGTAGAAGACAAGTGGTATCCCAAATGGAAAGTTTGTCACTAATTTCAACTATGCTCTGTGTCCCATAACAGTGATGGATACTATAGAAAAATACATGCATCAGTAGACCTCACCAGACTGCCATCTTCTAAGTGCTGGGTCAGAGTAGGGCACAGTTGGATGCAAAGATGAAGTGGAAAGGACTATTCTAAGTGGAAAGGACTCCCAATTAAGTGTGACAGTAGCTGGGAGACAGATCTTGCAGAATGAAAAGTCTAGGAAAGAAGCTGATCATGAGAAGGAGGGAGAGAGGAAAGGGCTAGATGTCACAGAAAGGCTGAAATTTGACATCTTCAAGGACAAAAGTGAGTGACACAGAAATGGAATTAATTTTTAACTGGACTACAGACTCGTGTCCATTCTTCAAACTTAGGATGCTGTTCCATGACTGAACAAATTGGCATTCTCCTAAATTTCAGGTGCAATCAGTGAGTTAATAGCAAAAAACAAGTAGAAAGAGAACTTGCAATGAGTGCAGATCAGGGACTGGGCAATAGCCAAGAAACTTATTAAAAAGAGTAGATTTCCTAGCTGTACCTCAGGCACTGAAGAAGATCATTTGAGAGTTTGTGTAATGAGTTTGCTTTGCAAACTGATTTCATCTTGTCATGAAGAAAATAACTTCCATCTGTCACATACTTATCCTGTTTAAAGGAGACTAGGACTAGGAGTAAATGAGAGAGGTCCAACAGAAAACCCCAGAGAGAAGTAACTTCCTAGGCTAACAATAAAGAGGAAAGTTTGAGAAAATAAACTAAAACTGAAGGGACATAATTGTGGCTGAGGAGCTAAGGACGGCTCAAACTCATTCCTTCCCACTTGGGAGCAGCAGGGATAGAGCAACTATTCAATGTGATTGAGGAGGAGCCTTGCAAGTGGAGTCTGAGAGAGTCGAATAAATGTGGTATAAGGTATGAGAGAGAGAGTGAGGAGGAGGTTACTTACGTGGCTTGTCCCAGAAGGAGAAATACAAAAGGGTTATTATTACTCTTTGTCAAGATGGAAGTCTAAAGAGAGAATTTTGCCAAGTCAATTAAAACCTTTGATAACTCATGTTTTACACACGTGCTGCTTTTTAGAGACTCAGACAATGAGAGGGAGCGTTTCATGCTTATTTCCCATTCAGGTAATAGTCTGTGTGCTTGGCATCTTTTAAGGAGCCAAAGGTTGTACTCTGTGCTAGGGTTTATCACAAGGACAATGCAGTCTGCTTGAGTTTCATTTTGGACTGCTTAGCTGAAACACACAAAAACATATGATGGTGTGTTAGCAGAAATTTAAATAAGAATAATGTAGCTGGTATCTATTGTGGTTTGAATTAAGAGCTTGAGTTGAAGTCAACCATTGTTTCAGAGTAATTCAGCGTAGGTCAGTTATGCTGGCCTAGGCTCTACCAGCATACATGGGAGTAGAATTTTGCTTCTTGAATCTTCTTGAAACATCTGCACAGAAAGATATTTTTTTTTGCTACTCTCTATTAAATGAAAATGATTTGTATGTCTGATACAAGACTTCTGTATATGTGCAATCCCATTTCTAGCAATTATCATGAACAAGTGGAAAGGAACTTACAGTAAGTAAAGCCAACATGGGAGAACTCCAAGCAATGTGTTATTTCTGATCTGCAAAATGCTATTGAAGTGAATGCTTATAACCTCTGTATTCTACTGTCAGGTTTGCTTTACTTACTTAATTGTTGTTCATTTTATGTATTCTTTTCATTTCAGATCAGAACATCTGTCATTTGGTCCACTCCAAACGTCTCCTTTGTAATCCCTTTATGGGTTATAGTACTAGCAATACTTCTCGGACTACTGGTACTAGCTATGTTGACCCTAGCTTTATGGAAGGTATGTTGCATTATTACTGTTGCCTCAAAAAACCACTGAAACATACTGGAAGATACTAAAAGATAAGAAACAGAGGGGCTGGCATTTTGTGATCGTTAACAGTTCGGAGAAAAAGCAACAATACACATGTGTGTCTTCTGTTTTGGCATTTCTGACATCCTAGTGTCGCTGACCTTTATGCAGGGAACTTGTTTTCAAAGTCTTCCTTTATTATTAAAGTCTGGTTATAAATGGGCATACAGGGTTTGGCTCCGTTTCCCAAGACCTATGATCCTCTTTCAGGATGTTTAGGTTCAAAAAGAAGTGACTCTAACTTTGTTTTCTCTGAATACTTCAGGAATTTCCAGTTTTTGTCAGCATGTAACAACACTCCCAGCTTTGAGAATTAATTTTTAGAAGATTTCCTTTTCTGTTAGTGTGTCATATCTTCTGGTATTAAATTTTTCTAGTTCTGTGTTGGTTGTTGTGCTGACTTCACAAGTTTTGAAACAAGTTACTGGAATCTGCTATATTACAGGGAGCCAATGTAGCTTTCAGCCACCTTCTCAGTTGCTGTTAAAAAAAAAAAAAAAATTCAAATAATTTTCAAAGTCCGAATATGGCTCATCTGCCTTTAGCTGCCTAAAGGTTATGGGTTAGTTCTCCTGCCTATGCTTACTTTCCAGTTATGCTAACTAGTCAGTTAACAACAACAGCAAAAAGCTGTGTCTAAAACATAGGAGAATGAGAGAAATTAGCTTTTGGTGGTACTCTCCTTTGACCTCTTGTGGAGCCTACGTAACGTTCAGCCTTTCATCAAAAAGAATAACTTTTAGGCAGTTAAAGTTAGATGAGAGGAATCTCATCTTTAGGGTAGGTCACGACATTGTCCTGTGCACATTTCCCAACACATATTCCACCTCTGTTATTATTACTGTCTCTCAATCTAAATAAAGTTTCTGAATGAGTGTCTTGCTGAACTGAAATTAACAGTTTTCTCATTAGAGTCAGTCAGTATCAGCATTCACACCAACTTTACATCTCCTGCAAAGACAGCTTTCATTTGAATTTTTAAAGCTATACTTTGGAACTCGGTGCCTTGCACCTAAAACTTTAATTTTTCATAGGGAACGATTTGAATAGAAGCAAAAAAAACTTCACAGTCTATCAGCCTGCCACGGGCTGTACCTGACCTTTCAGGCTGACTGAGTGAAGAATCAAACTGCAGCTGAGTCTTCTTCCTGTGGTTGTCTCACCATGATGCCTTTGTTTCTGTTGGCTGTTTTCTGCAGTGTGGCTTCTTTGACAGAGCGAGGCCTCCTCAAGATGACATGGCTGACAGGGAACAACTGACAAATAACAAGACTACTGATGCATAGAGGAAGAGAGTGACAGGACAAGTCAGAATCCTGCCTGAAACTAGAAACACAATGAGGATTAAATGAAGGATCCCTTCCACGAGTCTTCCTTTGTACCTGCAAGTGACACGGTGTCATAATCTGATCTATGCAATGTTCTGAGAACATGCCACATGATGGCCATTCTTGGCAAAGAAAGCAGCTTTATCACTGCCTTACAGCCACACTCACCACTGGACAGAATCTTTATCCCACCTTACAGTCAGTCTACATTTCAAGAGATGCTTTTGAACACGTGTGGTATGCTGAGATGCTTCCAGAACAAGCCCAAATCTCCCAAGGAGAGAATGCCTGCATTGCTGTATTATATGTCTAGAAGATGGACCAGGAAAAAAACTTCCAAACACTACTGTATCGTGCAGAATACCTTTGACACCTCCCTAAGAATAAGAACTTTTATGAAATTATGGCTCAGGGAGACAAGCAATATATCAGTACTGTGAAAGTACTTCTGAAAAACAAAGGTAGTCTATAAAGAACGTTATAGATGGGGCACAATTATTTATTTTTCCACCTTTTCAGGATAAGTATCTGATATAATCCTTAACTTAGATTTTGAGAGAAGAAAGTTAAAAAAAAAAAAACCAAAACATAAATCATGTACTTACCTTGCATGTAAATAGAAAAGTAAACCCATTGTACACACAGAACACGTCTTTCTTGGCTACCAGGTGTTGCGGAAAGCAGAGGATTTATGCAACATTTTAAAAGATGAGACATATGGTAAATAAGTACATGTTGTATCTCTTTCAAGCCGGAGCTGGCAGTATCACACCCAGGTAACTAAACCTACACACAGCATAGAGCAGGGGATGAGTTACCTTCTCATCCAGCTGCTGATGGCTGACACCCGTACAGCTGACACAGGATACAACAATTTGTGAAACACTGAATTAAATTATCCCAGCCACACTGGCGATACTGAGAAGGCTTGGAGGTTTTGGGCTAGAATAAATTTTCTTTGCCATTGCCCTGTTTCTTTGTTGAAATAGCCTCTTAAAACAGAATAGCTACTGCCGTTGTATCTTCTGTTAAACTTATGTCATAGACCCTAACGCTTTGTTCACCTAAAGAAATCTTTGCCTTTTTCTCATCTTGTTCTACAGTCTACAAGTTGGCAGCATATTTAAAGTGTTGATCTCAGCAAAGTTTAGGGCTGAATATAATTATTTCTAAAGCAAAGTCTTGCAGGGAAGGTGGGCAGGATTTGTATTCAAGCAGAAAAATAGGATGTCAGCCAACCAAGCATGAACAAAAAGAAGGAAAGGTATTTTGAGGTAAAGAGTAAAAATATACATTTAGGATTTTATTTTTTTTTTTTCTGGATCAAACATTCTGAAGAAGAGAGGCTTCAGTCTTTCTCTTCTATCAGCAAATGGTCCTTATCTCAGCAGGGCCTGTAAGCTCTGGATCTGTGCAAATTTGTGCCTGAGAGCTTGAGCCTTCCAGTGCTGCCTGTGAAAATGAAATTAGCTGTGTTGGGTAAAGTTCAGGGGGGATTGTTCATTTGCTGGAACCGACACTACGCTTCCCTTCTGAGCTCCTTTGCTTCCCAATCCATCTCAGCTTCTCAATCAGCAAATGGCTTCATCCCTTCTGCCACTGCTTGGCTCCTTTGAGATAACTCCCCTTCTGCTTCCTAAGACTTCAGGACAGGACTAGCCATGAGACATTGTCACTTCCCTCAGTCTCAGAGAACATTTGACACTCTTACTGTTCCTTGCACACAGGCTGACCTGTGAAATCCAAGCAGGAGCTGGGAAACCTGAGCAGCTGTGTTCCATCTTCATACTTAAGGCAAGTTTGCAAGACCTTGGTGGAGTCTTTAGCTTATCATATGCAGCGTGGCCACGAGACAGTGAGGGGAGGACCCGTGCCTCAGAACATGGAGGCGCTTCCCTCTGTTTTCTGAGGATGGGGAAGGCTGACTCTTTCCCAGTCCCCCAGAAAACCCTTCCCCCAAAATGGGTTTGAGCTGACCCCTTGTAGGTTAGAGAGATCAACTGACAAATGCCACCACAACGCAAGCCCGTGCCGTATTTGCACACCTCTGTATGCCATGCATTCCAGGCAAAATCAGCCTCCCGGGGAAAAGACCGTGAGCTTCTAGCTTTTGTAAATATTGAATTGTTGCGTGTAGCAGCTTGTGAAATAAGATCCGCTAGCTCATTAACAGTCACATCATCTGCACAGCTCTTACTCTGATGAAATAGCACCATAAGGAGATACTGAACATAGGACTTTTGTATGTGCAATACTTTATATTACTTATATACCTGAAGCATGTTTACACTGGCATTTGTGGTTGTTTTTTAAACTTTTGAATATACTGATTAATGATTACAATAAAGAAAAAAAAAAAGAATAGAAAAAAAACCAACAAACAAACACAGCTCTATTCAGTATTTGTTGCAATGTGTTTTCAATCCCGCATTGCTCTGAGGATGGGACTAGGTGACCTAATAAGTTCTTTGCAGTTGTAACATCCATGATTCACTTTTGAGCAATTATTCTCCATTTTAATGATGGGCAAAACATGTTCAGATACTAAATTTAAACCAAAAATAACCTCAGTGACTGCTGGGCCTGGCTGGAATCCATTGGCTGCAGCTGTGTAATGTCACTGGAAACCAAATTAGAGGCACATGATCTGAAAAACAGTTACTTTGAGCAAAACTTTGTTTTATATTTCTACATCCTTGCAGATTAAACTTCCCCCATGGAAATGTCTGGAGCCGTGTGCTGTCAAGGACTGTAGTCTTGGGTCTCGGCGTTTGTGGACAGCTTTGGCTGCAAATTGCAAACAGCTTTATGAAGGAGATCTCTGGGTTTCAGTGCTTGCCAAGAGTGTTTATTCCCTGGGGAGATTGCATCCTGGATGTGGACACTAGCAGGCAGTTGACATAATCTTTCCCCACAGTACATTAGTAACGTGCTGGTCGATAACCTCTGCCACATCCCTACAGGACTGAACTTTTGTTTTGGTGATGTCAGCCTGGTAGTGAGTTATTAAATGCAGCTTTCTGTGAAAGTTGTTCGGCCTCATGCTTCCAAATGCAAGCAGTGAGCTGCTAATTGCTGAGAACACTGGAGTAGTCCGGAGAGCAGAAAAAAACAGGAGATTACTTTATATATTAAAACTGCTTATTGTTACGACCACTACAGCGGTCTAGGAAACAGGGAGACATTCATCTTTTATTTGAAATGGTTCTTGCTGATTTTGAGAAAGGCTGTTGGGTTATTTCGTCTATACAGCAGACCTCTTAAGAGATTCAAGTGTCAAGCGACATTTTCTCATTTATGAAAATTTCAGAATTTACCAAGCAGGGATCAGAACATTTGAATATGTTGTCACTTACGGATTTAATCTTTAAAGGTATTTAGCAAATGCAATTTTCACTTAACCTCCAGGTTGTTACCAAGAATTTCTTCATCACCAATGTGTTACTCTACTCATTTACAATTTTTTGTCTTCTCCAACTTTTTTACCCTGACAGCTTTTACAGGTTTCCACATTAGATGTCTCTTGAAAATGACACTGATTTTCTCTGTCTTTTAGCTGTGATTCTTTTTCATCCATTAGCAAGAAGGATCTTCTGGTAGGCATGGCATACATTAGCTAAAAAGCCTTTTGGGAACTGGCAAAACACCTAGAGATGTGCAGGGGAGAGGGAGTCCCAACTGGCCATGGCCTATGGTGTTCCACTGCGTCGTAGCAAACTTTTTTAAATGAGATACCATCTGACACACTGCCTTTACAAATTGTTTATGAGTGAGTGTTTTATTTATGATTGTTGGCAAGGATCCATATTAAAACGTAGCGTAATGGTAGTGCCTCTTCACAATAAAAAGTCTTGAATTTAGCTTATGCAGGTGGCATGATGTGACACAGCAGGAATGCTTATATTAAAAGCACTGAAGGACTGTTCTTGTTTGGACTGCATGTTGTATTGGAAGGACACTTAAGTATTCAAGATGGTACCATACTGTACACAGCGACTGCTAGAAAAGAAAGATAGAAGTGATTGCTCAACTCACTTTTCAGATGGTTTCATTTTATTTCATCATGTTGCATCTACTTAACTGATGCACCACATTTTATTGGGTTTCGTATTGTTCCTTGTTTCAGTAACAGTTTGTAAAGCAGACTTCAACGACTCTTTCCAAAACCAGACTGGATTGCTTTGCCAGAAGCAAGCTGAGGAGAAGAGCAGCAGAGCAGAATTCAGGATGCTATGTATGTGGCATGGTCAGTGCATGGCAGGGGCTAGCTTACTTTTCAGCAGTTTGCCCAAATTCGTATTCAGAGTCATATTAACAAAACAGCAGCCTTAGATTCCCCATTTGTCCTGTCAAGGAGAGCCAAGGTGGGTCCTCTTTTGTCCTCACTGTAAAGACCAAATACCAAGCAATCCTCATGGCAAAGCAGGGGAAGGGAGGGCACATTTTAGACCCACACAAGAGAAATAAAAGGCAGCCAAATCAGGTGTTTTGCAAAAGCACAAACATCTGTATTCTGATGCTGTCCTGGTCATGAAAGTTAACATTTTCCCAGCAAAAGCAATCTGCTCATTTATCACATTAGACCAAGAACACCAGAAAAAAAAAAAAAATCTTGTTAAGTTACAGAAAGCTTCCATGAATCTTGTACCTTTTGTAGAAGTTTTACATTTTGAAGTACATATGATGATAGCTCTTGGCTCTTCAAATGGCCTTGCTGATGTTTTTGTTGTTAGTTTTTAATACCTTAATAGCATTTAGGAAAGGTTAGGTCAGCATAGTAAAAGCTGAAAAAGAAAATCCATTTAAACTTAACAGCGAAGTCTCACAGGAGCCCCAGGCTGAGATCTGGACTTACCTTTTCCATTTTTAGGCACACAGGAGGCATCAGGATGTATCTCACACGTCTGGTGTGAGGGTGTTAGGGCTTTGTTATAACAAACACTGCCATGCCAACTAATGTGAAAACCAGATTATTTTATTTTTAAAGATCCAACAGTCTTTCATTCTCTGCTGTACGCCCTGTGTACACGAACAGGCAGAGCATGGGTAAATGGCACCGTTAAACGAGGTGGTGGGATAAGACATTCCCAGTGTGACCCAGTACACCACAAAGAGCCTTTCCTGTGAAGAAGGACAAAGACTGAATTTTCCCAGTGCCTAAAAGTAGGAAAGATTTGTTTTTCTAGAGGACACGGCACCACAGGAGCCCTGCACGTTAAGCACAACGAGTGTAAGTATAAATGCAAAAGAAAGATTTGTTTTTCTAGAGGACAACACGGCACCACAGGAGCCCTGCACGCTAAGCACAACGAGTGTAAGTATAAATGCAAAGTGGCTGGGCACAAGGGAGTTAATATTAAGCAGTTAAGGATGCAGAATACTACGTCAACTATAAATGCCTTAGAGGGTAGGGCTAAGGAGGCTCTAGAGGAGAAATCAAACCTTTAAACATAAATGTTACCAAAGAGTAGAACAGGAATGACAAGAAGGTTGATTAGTAAAATGGATGGATTGGGAATAAGGCTCAGCTACAGCAGATGAGGAGAAGTTGTGAACCCCAGAAGATAACGATACTAATGATCTACTACAGTGATTTTTAATTTTTTTTTTCCACAATGACCAACTGGTTCATTGCTCATGCAAAGTTTGAGGAAGACCATTTCCCTAGTAATTAGATAACGAAAGGAAAAAATATCTCAGCAGCTGTGTCAGGACTATTGAGTTATCTGTGAATCCCTCTCATTCGGAAATGAAGGGCTGCATTCACTTCATTGACTTGGGGAGAAGGAAGGAGGTGGCAAAGACATGAAACTTGAATTTGTTCCAGCGTCTGCTAAAAGGTTCTGGCTTCACTGCTGTTTCAAAGTGACTGTTTCAGTGTTTGCTGGGGCTGTACAGCAGCTTTCTCTGGAGTAGTACAGACTGTGCTCTCCAAAGGCAATAGAAAGACATTCTTTTCAAGCCGGTAAAAACTAAATCTTTCATGGAAACTTTGTGTCCATGTCTGGCTTACCCAGGAGACCCCAGGAATAAAGTGGTTTTCAAGAGGGATTTTTTTTTATTATTATTTTATTTATCAAGTGTTGTTACATACATTGAGAAGTTCTCTATGGGCTTCCATCCTTATATACATTTATAAGTTGAACTGAAGTAATTCCTTGCTAACAGATGAAGGAGGCACAACTAAATCCACAATGAAATTGAAAAGTTAATTGATGTTGTGGAGATGACAGTGATCCTATTTCATTTTTAAGTTTGGCTTTAATGAATGTTTGCTTTTTTTAAAGTTTACTAATTCTACATGTAATATATTATGGTACTAAAGAAGCACTTAGACGTGAGTAACAGTATTGGTGTTTAATATAACAAGTTACTCACTAATAGGTAAATGAGGCAGGGGCAAAATCCGAGGGGAAGGACCATGTTCTTCCCTCAGCTGGGCTGCTCCAACACCAGCTTTAGCTGACTGGGAATCCTCCACACTCCACAATGAGCAGTTACTCTTCCAAGAGGAGGAAATCTTGACACCATAACAGTACTCAGTCCTTTGTCTCGAAGATTTCTGGAGCCTCTTGCTCTGCTCTGTTGGGTGCTGCTTGCTTAATGTTATCTGCTCCGTTGGCTCCTCCACACTCAACTAGTTTGGATCACAGAGATTCAGTGCCATGTCATTTCCATCTGCTTCTTGTTTAAAAAGCTGAGGTTATCACCCATCTTGTGAACGGGTCTGCAACTTTTCATGATTGATAGAATATATTCTGCTTGATTTGGGGGAGAAGGGGTGTTTAGTCTCCACCTCACTTTTCTAATGCCCATATATACACAAAAAGTCAGTCCCATGGTATCTATTACACATTATTTCACTAAGCAACCAGCCAAGTCTTTGTTCTGTTATTTGGTAGAATGGAGTAAGCCTGAACTTGACCCTCCAGCCATTTTAAGCAAACAACATCTGTGTGAAGCCATTTAGGTTTCCAATACATTGACTCACTGCAAGGTCTTTAAGAGCAAATCTTCTTGCAGAACATGTTGTGTACTCTTCAGCATCATCACTGCAGTTGGTATGCTGTGTCAAGCTTATACTGATCTTACATAGATTACTTTTAGCTGGTTTTATTATCTCGAAAATGGTTTTTCTGGAGAGTGGGAATGAAGTGCAGGAAAAAGTGTGGGTTGTCTTTTTCAAGCATGCTCAGAAACAGCTTTTAACACTCACCCTCAATAGGCCCTCAAAGAATCACATGGGGTTGGAAGGGACCTCTGGAGATCATCTAGCCCAACCCCCTGCCAAAGCAGGTCCACCCAGAGCAGGTTGCACAGGAACGTGTCCAGGTGGGTTTGAATGTCTCCAGAGAAGGAGACTCCACCAGCTC